GGATGATTCGAGAAATGCACCAAAGCGACTGAGAAAAACTTTAATGTATTATCTCTAGTAATATGAGGAGTTAGAGAACTATATTTTAGCCTGGAGCAACATGACAAATGTGATACACATGCTAGTAATGTCATTAGTTCAAGGCTTTAATAATACAAAATAATCGTTTCATTATAATGGATATAATAAACAGAACTGTTGTCAAAATGACTGACGAAAGTTCCTAGTATTTTTGGTATATATCTAAAACTAAGATAGGAATTAGTATTTAGAATAAAAATGTATTGCATATAATAAAATCATTTCAATATTTTCTTCTCACAGATCCATTTAAAAGTTTCTGAACATGGATAATCATTCCACTGTGACTTGTAAGTTAGAGCACAGTTCTCTCCTCTTTTTCCATTTGGCTCTTTATGACCCCAGAACCTGCAACAATAGATCAGCATTAGATGTTCAGTGCTGCTTTCTGTGTGATATGATACTGACTGTGAGAATCATTTATTACATAATAATCAGTTGAGTTCAGGGATTTCTCACCCAGTGGTCAGTGTGCTGCCATCAACCCATTTCCATGTGTTCTCCACATCAACGTCAGTCAGACCAATCCAGACTTTAGCACCATCAGACATTTTCCTAACAAAATTCTGACAAGTTGAAAAAAAAGAAAACTTACATCAAAATAATTTCAAGTTTGAACTGACCTCTTTTCATATAGCAATAAATTACCACACACAGGCACACACACTCATCTCTTACTCACTTGTTCCTGGCTGTTGTTTATGATGATCAGATCTGCTCCTCTCTCTGTACAGTATCTTCTGCTCTCAGTCCAGCTCTTCTTCTCAGAGGGAATGTAGTACAAACTAAATTTATAGTATAACCATTCATCTGTAAACACAAACAGTTCAAGTATTAGCTGTTTATCCATATTAACACAACATAAAAAAAAAATGACACAACCTATTTTTTTTACTGTTTTACCAATTTAATATATAGTTTATCCTTCAAATATTAAATGTTTGTGTAGTTTGAATGTTGAATGTTTGTTTAGTGTATCTCATGATTACCCATTCCATTAAAACACTTCAACAGTTCATTTGTCACTTGATTTAACTGTTTGTTTAATTGAATATGGTTGCTGTTGTTAGTTAGCTGGTCTCTCTCATCGGTAAGGTTGGTAATGTTGGTCAACATCTGGTTTCTCTCTTCTGTGAGGTTGTTAATCTTGGTTAGTAGCTGATCTCTCTCTTGTGTGCAGTTTGTGTTGTTTGTATAGATGTGGACACACAGCACTATGACTGCAGTTAGCAGAAGAACACACAGCATAACCAAACACACTGCAGCTGCTCTGGAGCTTCTGCTCTTCACTGAATCACTTCCTGTTCACCACAGACATGATGTTAAATGACTGAACATGTGCAAACCGCAACATTTTTTAATCAAATAAATGACTATGATTACCTGTACGCTGTAGTGGTTGGTGTGTGTTTGTCTCTGTCCTGAAGTCATGATCTCTCACACAATCTGCCCTCTCATAGATAGCCACCATCATCTCCACTCTCTCAGACTCAGTTCTGATCACATCGTCATAAATAGCATCAGACATTTCTGCTCTTTTAAAGGCCAGCAATATTAATTTGTGCTAATGCTAATCATTGTTCTCTTCACATTGACTGTTCTCTTCTTTCAGTTTTCATTCGGGTTTGGCATGAGGGGCTAAAAGCTCACATACTTCTGTGGTCTCTTACTGGAAAGTGTAAAGACCGCCCATTTTTCTGTTCTCTATTTTTTGACCAACTCTATCTTCTCTTATTTTATTTCTGTGCTTTTGATTTCTTACTACTGAGATACAGTGAAGAGAGGGCAGGAAATGATTGAAGAGAGAAGGGAGTGGGACAATGATTCTGTTCCTAGTGTCACATACTAAATACAGCTGTTTTGTTGCACATTTGTCATACATTTGCACGTCATTTCACTTGTTTGATTCTATTTTTAACACCTATATTAGAACAACAACATGAAACTGCTCCAAGGTTTGACACCATGTGATGTCCAACTCTTTAGTGCAAAAAAAGGTTAGTCAATTGTCTGTTCTCGCGAGAAAAAGTGGCATTCTTCTGTGATTGTGCATGTATCACTTCTCACAGGAACTTCAGAACATGCTTCAAAAGAGCTCTTAAATAATTGTTGAATGTTACATGCAGCTAAAGGTAGCATCCGTTAACTGAAGGCACACTGTTTGCGTCTGCTGTGTTGACAGCTTCAATGCTGCAGACCATTTAACAAATGTTACATACACAAATAAAATTACAGTGTTTGCTCAGAACGAACCAAAATGAAAAACAGGTTCGAGGTTCAGTCTGTGGTGATTGAATCTAATGAAATATGATTAACATGGACGATCATCCTAATGGCACTTGTATAGCAACATATACTAATGCTGAATGTTTTTCCTGTGTCGTTCCTTGTCCATGTTAGTGGTTTGTTGATTCTATTTTAACATCAGTTAAAACAGCAACATGAAACTGATGTGAAGGCAAAGTGCGAGTCTCAAATAAAGTGACATTTGTGCCACTTTAACACTATGTAGAGAGCATGTATCTGGGTAGCTGACATATAACATGTTGATAAACCTATTTTAATCAACAAAGATTTTACTGTAAATAAAACATGAATGTATAAGAGAAATTGTGTATTTCATGTTCTGTTGACCATTTATTCTATTTTTTTCACCATTTTTAATCACCTTTATATTATTATTAGTGCTGTCAACTGATTTAAAAAAACTAATTAATCACACATTTTTCTGTAATTAATCACGATTAATCTCACCTATAAATTTTTATTATATTTTTATATTGTAATAATTTCACATTGAATATCCAAAATAATGTAGAAACAACAAAGACGTATATTGTTTAATGTCATCTTTTTACAAAGTACTAAGGCCAGTATCACCAAAATCAATAATGTTACTGATGCCTAAATTATTTTTCTCAGCTTCTGGGGATCAAATGAGAATAGCCATTTAATATTACAGTATAACTGAAAATCAACACTTGATTTTCTTTTTAACACTTAATATGCTTTAAAAATGTCATCACTAATGGCATGTTTGTCTTTATTTCATGACATCTAAACAGAGTTTCACTATTTATGAGTAATGAACTATTATATATTTGACGCTAGTACACTCTTAGCTCCTTCAGTCTTCTTGTTAATGGCAGTTACAGGACTGAGAACAAGATAACAAATATAATACATGTGTAAGGTAGTCACTTCAAAGCTTTATTAATAAAAATGAGCCTACATATATATCTTGTTGCAAAAATGATAAATGACAACAGGATTCTGGTCTTTAAGTGATTCTGGATGTTTATGTTCAGAATACATTTGTATGATATATATAATAAAATAATTTAAAAAATGTCTTCTCACAGATCCATTTCAAAACATAATTACATAGCAAGTCATTCCACGACGATGGATAAGTCACAACACAGTTCTCTTTACTATATCCATTGGGCTCTCCAGACACCCAGAACCTGAAAGTACAGATCAGCATTAGATGTTCAGTGCTGCTTTCTGTGTGATATGATACTGACTGTGAGAATAATTTATTAGATAATAATCAGTTCAGTTCAGTGATTTCTCACCCAGAAGTCAGTGTGCTGCCATCAACCCATTTCCAGCTGCTCTCCACAAAAATGTCAGTCAGACCAATCCAGACTTCAGAAATGCCAGATTTTTCATAACAAAATTCTGACAAGATAAAACAATAACACATTTGTATCATAACAGTTAAGATGATCTCGTGGTATATCTCTCTCTCTCTCTCTCTCGCTCGCTCGCTCTCTCTCTCTCACACACACACACACACACACACATTTGATGGGTTTCAATTTTTTTATATTATTTATAAGCTGTTTCCTCATGGGGACCAATAAATGTCTCCGTAAGATCAAAAATGTTGTGTATTACTAGTTTTGTGAGGAACTTTTGTCCCCGCAACATTGTGAATATCAGGCCAGACACACACACACACACACACACACACTCACTCACTCACTCACTCACTCACTCACTTGTTCCTCTCTGTTGTTTATGATGATCAAATCTGTTCCTCTCTCTGTCCAATCTCTGATTGGTGGAATATATCTGTAATGTCCTTTAGTGCCAGATTTATGCCAACTTTATTTTGTGGATATGTGTTAATTATAAATGTGTCCAATAGCAATTTGATAGTTTGACTTTCTATTGCACTTTGATAGTTTTCTTTACTGTCTTTTGTCCATTTGTAGGATTGATGTAACCTTAGTAAATGAGAGGGCTGGCTGCATATTTCATTGATTTGAGTTCATTTTAGATAGAGTGTAATTTTGCAGTGGTCTGACAGAGATGTTTGAAGACTGACTGTGAATGCTATGAGACAGAGCTGTAGCCTTTTCCCACTTTTGTTTGTGAAGTTGTCATAATTATTTCTGAGGTGATATGAGGGCAGAGAGTGGCGGGTGTTTGTAATATATTTGTCTCCTTTGGCATTTACGTTGCCACATATTAAATCATTTCCAATGGCAGATCTCGTCTTGCAGGATAGAAAAGTTTTCTTCATTGTAATAGGGAGATTCAACCGGGGGTAAGTATGTGGCACACAATAATATGTGACGGTCTGTGGACGGTCTGATTTTTATAGATTTGATTGAGTCGATGAGTTCTGCTCTGTACCATACCAGCATTCTGTCCCAATATCAGCAGTCTCTGCCCTGTGTCACCCCTCTTAGTTTGGTTGATGGTAAAATTAATTCTCTAAACCCAATTGGGCAACCAGTGGACAAATCTCTTACATTCCATGTTTCTTGTAGTATTATAATGTCAGAATTCAGAATTTCTCTTTTGAAATCTGAGTGTTGGCTCTTAACACCAAAAATGGAGGATCTAAATCCTTGAATATTCCAACATGAGATTTTTAAGGAATATGATCCCATTAATCATTTTTGTTATTTCAAAAACAAGACAAACATCAGTATGCTGAATTGACAGATCAAGTAGAATATTTTAAATATTATGATTAATATCTAAGAATATCTTTTAAAATAAATGTATAAATAATAAATGTCTTATTCTTGTATATAAAAGAATATATATATAGGAAGTAGTTCTGCACAAAACAGGGTTTTTTTAGGCACTCCGTTGTTTCTTGTTTAATTACAGACATGGTCCGTCGAACTGTTGTATAAATGCAATATCACTCTCGTACTCGAGCGATACCGGCTCTATATCAGC